TTTGTCTTACATGTTTCGATAAAATGTCATCATCATAGACTCTACAAAAGATGTAATTAAAGTATTAAACATTTTGTAAGAATTAGACCCGTGTTAAATTTTGTTTAGAAAGAATTTACATTGAAAGTTACTTACTGCGTCACATATATGTTGTGATAATTAACATTCAAAATTATAAAGAAATTAACGTTAAACAATAAAAATAGTTAACAGTGTAAGGAGCAGCTCTTACTTTGTTGTGTGGGCGTGCTAAAGGCGTATGCGACAAGCAGAACCTTGTCACGCCGGCTTGGATTTAGGAAGCAAAGTTAAATGAAATTAAGATAAATAATAGAAATCAAGTCAAATTTAAATAACAAATTTAATGAATTAAAATCAAACGAAAACAATAGCAAAAAAATAAAATACAATCTAAAATTAATAAACAGAATTAAAGTTGAAATAAATTGGAACAAGCAAAGTTTATTTACAAAAATAACTCGAAAACTTTATATTGATTAACACCAAAAGAAATTTTAATCTAGTAATTTTCCTAACTTTACTTGAAAATCTGTATAAGCAAATTTAATTAAAAGCATTAAAACAAAATCTAAGTTCAACAATTACAAAATGATCAATTTAATAAAAAGAATATCAAACATTACGTAGGTTCATACCAAATCAGAAAGAGCTAAAGCAATTAGTTACTACCTTTACAAGTTAATATGTGAAATAAAACATTAACGACTTACCAAGGGCTAAAGCGATCATATTGAGAGGAGCGACTCGTCAAAAAGTATAACAATCAAACTTAAGAATTACCGGAGTCTTACTCGGACTTTCCACTAATGCCCGTTTGCACCGTAATACATAAGCATTGCTTAAAGGCTAAGTAATGCTTAAGTAGTGAATTTGCGTTGCACCGTCAAGTAACCCGTTCTCAAAATCAATAAGACGTTCTCAAATATAAGTATTTGAAATCCAGTGCTTAAGTTGTTCTCAAGCGCATACGTCAAATAGACATAACCGCACATAACCTATACGTTAAAAAAGTAATAAAATAAAATAATGGATCTGCAAATTTTCGACGACGATTTAGATGTTTTGGAAATAATTGATTTTGGTTTTCCAAAATTAATATACACAAGATCCAATTATTTCCACGAAATGGACGAATATAATTTTTTTAAAAGATTTCGTCTAACAAAACAAAGTTGTTTGTATGTTCTACGACAAATACAAGAAATTATAGAATTTCCGTCTAATAAGTAAGTAGTATACATTATTTTAAATTATACTTTTATAGGCTGAATTTAGATTATTTTAATACTACTTGTTTTGTACAGAAACAACTGTGTGTCTCCAATGAACCAGTTGCTAACAACCCTTAGATTTTACGCTTCTGCTAGCCATTTAACTATTGTAGCTGATTTTACCGGGATGCATACTTCAACAGCTAGTAGAATTATATCGCGGGTATCGCGTGCAATTGCTATGCTGAGACCGCAATACATAAAAATGCCAAGTAATACCGAAGAAATTCTAGCAGTACAAAACCAGTTTTATGGAATAGCTGCATTTCCCAGGATTATAGGTGCCATTGATTGCACGCACATAAAAATTCAGTCTCCTGGTGGCGAAGATGCAGAAGTGTACAGGAACCGAAAAGGCTACTTTTCTTTTAATGTACAAGTTATTGTAAATGCAAATTTGGAAGCCATGGATATTGTGGCAAGGTGGCCAGGATCTGTTCACGATTCAACTATATTTAATAATAGTCGGATTAGAGCACGGTTAGAAAACGGAGATTTCCAAAATGGCATATTATTAGGTATGATGTTACTGATACTTAACGTAAAATAGTACATATTACTATTTGATTACAAATGATTAATGATAAGGTTCTTTTAGGCGACAGCGGTTATCCTCTGCGAGAGTATTTTCTAACTCCATTGGCAGAGTGTAGAACAAGACCAGAAGAACTGTATAATGAAGCTCATATAAGAACCCGAAATACAGTGGAACGGTTCTTTGGAAGTTGGAAACGTCGATTTCCTGTCCTTGCATATGGCCTACGTTTGAAAATTTCCACTGTGATGCAGATTATTGTAGCAACGGCAGTTCTACAAAATATTATCAGAACAGTTATGGCCGAGGAAAATGTTGCTGTTTTGCCAGATGACATTAATGAAGCAGATTTAAATGTTCAAATTGAGGCTGGCCGTGTGGAGATGAATAATATCGGCAATAATGAGATACATTATTTAAGAGATAATTTAATAAATAACTACTTTAATGATTTATAAAACAATTTATTATAAAAATAACTATTTTTCATTACTTAACCTATCTAGTTTTTTTTTATTAACGCTATTAATGCCAACGTTGCGTAAACGCAACATATTGTTTACAATTTTTTTTTAACCGTTTGCAGCTATTTTAGAGTTTCAATTATTTGGTAGTAATTCGAGTATACTATGAAGCTTTCGGGAAAAATTTTAGTTTGGCACAATTTCCATTACAATTAAAAAAAAAAAATTTTGAATTTTGCCGATTTTTATGTATTCTGCAGCACTGTACTTTGAAATTTATTTGCGACGAGTGTCTAACAATTTTTGGATTTTGTCATGTCTATTATAAACTATTATCTTTTCGGATCATATTGACGTAAATTTCATTTTTGTAAAAAAAAAAATTTTTAATAAGAAATTGAGTAATTTTAATGTTGCGTATTCGCAACGTTGGCGGTATAAGGCAATAAATTTCTATTTTAATACTTTTTATATTGACAGTATATTTCTAAACTCGAGGGGTGACATCGCGAAATAGTATAAGGGAATAAAACGGTGACATGTGACTTGCTCCAGAATAGAGCAACCTAACTGATGAAGAGTATTTTGACGACAACGATCTAACAGGTAATTTTCGTAAAATAATCTTCTGAATGCTATCTCTATACGTTACATTCATGAGGATAGACTTTTACTAGTCATTTTTCAGGCAATGAAAATGAATTGACTCAAGATGTTGCTGGCACTTATGAAATAATTTCAAATAATTTTGATGATACGGTAGACGCCAATTTCCCCGAGCCTTCTACAAGCCAACCCCCTACTCCTGGACCTGGACCAAAAAAAAGAGCCAAATTATCTAAATTTTGTCCAAAATGGGAACATAAAAAACATCCCACATATTTTTCATCGCCTGAGTCCAATCAAATTACCCGTGAGCATACGTTGAAAGAGACTGTAGAAAGAAAAAGTCCTCTAGAAGTGTTTGAAATGTATTTTGACAATGAGGTTCTAACACTTATTGTAGATTTTTCGATAAAATATGCCCATGATAATAATAGACATCAGTATATATTTTCTATAGATGATTTAAGAAAATTTTTGGGAATAATGATTTTAACGGGTTATCACACTCTTCCACAAATGGATATGTACTGGAGTAAAGACGAGGATAAAGGTGTGTCCTTGGTCAAAAATTGTATGAGCAGAAATAGATTTCGAGATATAAAGAAAAATTTACATCTATGTGATAATGCTCTACTAGATAAAACAGATAAATTTTTCAAACTCCGTCCTTTATTTGAACTTATAAATAAAAGAAATGTGCAGTTTGGAATATTTACCTATAACTTATCTATCGATGAAGAAATGGTCCCGTATTTTGGTAAGCATTCAGCCAAAATGTTTATAAAAGGAAAACCTGTAAGATTCGGCTACAAACTATGGTGCCTCTGTTCGTCTGATGGCTACCTGTACCAGTTCATACCATATGGAGGTGCCAGAGTTGACAAAAGCGAATTGGGATTAGGAGCAGACGTAATCATTAGTCTTCTAAAAGTTTTAAAATCGCCTTCAGAACACAGAATTTTTTTCGACAATTTTTTTTCCTCTTATAAATTATTTACTGTTTTGAAGGAACTGGGAATTTTTGCGACTGGAACTATTCGTGACAACCGAATAGAGAAATGTCCCCTGGAATCGGCTAAATCTCTTAGAAAAAAAGAAAGAGGTGAATTCGATTTTTATTTTGATTCAGCTGCAGAAGTGTCTGTTGTTCGTTGGAACGATAATGCTGTGGTTACTGTTATTTCAAATAATTGCTTCATAGATCCCATGGTACAGACAAAGAGATATAATCGGAAAGAGAGGAATGAAGTGAACATTCCTCAACCTAATGTTATACAACAGTACAACAAACATATGGGGGGAGTGGATTTACATGACAACGGTATTGCAAACTAGAGAATTAAGGTACGAGGAAAAAAATGGTGGTGGCCCCTTTTTATAAACGTAGTTGATAGTGCTATAGTAAATGCATGGAGAATATATAGACTGGGAAATGACAGCAAAATGAGTCAATTAGAATTCCGGTCCTATTTGGCATTAGCTTTGATAAAATCGCAAAAATTACAAGCCGATTCTGAAAAGACAGAGAACCCAATCAATTTCAAAAATGTACAGACAATATCTCTTGGGCGACCATCCAAAAATAGTCTTCCCAACGAAATCAGAACAGACAAGGTGGGACATGTTATAATAAAAAATGACCAAGGTATTCGTCGTAGATGCCGACAATGTAGAAGCCAAACAATATTCTCATGCATAAAATGTAATGTTTTTTTACATACCGAATGTTTTGCTCCATTCCATGAAAAATAAAAAAAAAAAATTACTCCTTTTTCAGCCAACGTTGCGTAAACGCAACATTTTGTATTAGGTTCACCTATATATTTTTTAATTTTTTGGATTTGTATTATTTAATGTGTTTTTAAATAGATTTAATTAAAAAAATATTTAAAGTTAAATTTTTTCAACCCTTGGCCATTAATGGGTTAATTAATCTACTTTTTTATTTTCTTTTAATTGCTGCAACGTTTCCTTTTTAATTTGTATATCTAATAAAAGTGATTGTCTTTCCAAATCCTATTTTTCTTTTCTCCACTTTAAACCATTTTGCAACAGCTGCTCCTCTAGCTCTACTATACCCAATCTCTTTTTTATTAATTGGTCCTACTGAACGGCTATGTCAGATGAATTTAAAGCACGCACCACTGTGGCTGGTCGTCTCCTTGGAGTGTTCATATGAGCTTTTCTTTTTAAGGTACTACTCATGGGGGTTGCCAATGATGCGGCTGAAGCGTGATTCCAGTTTGAATTTCGTGACTGTAAAAATATGTTTTAATTTATATTATTTAATTATTTAAAAACATAACTTCCACCACAAGTTCCTCCACTAGATTTTCATTTACTTCATTTTCCATTGGTGGTATATTCTCATTTTGATCCTGTTTATCACCAAAAACATCATCATCTAGGAATTCCACAATATCAATTGATTGGGATCCTAGTGGTTGTGGATCAGCATCGCTATCAAAAGTATTTGCATGGCCATAAACAGTTTTTTTATTCATAATACTGAACACGAGATCCTTTTCTGCATCATGTGCTTCTTTGATTGCAGGTCCACCTCCTGTTAAATATTTTTCTTTAGTTTCTTCTGCCACCAGTTTTCTGATATCCCGCTTTCTATTTGTGTATAACTTTTTCAACGAGGACATGGTCCTTTTTTGTCCTGCAGGACAACTCGCGTTAAATTCTTGGGTAATTTTTAGCCAAGCTTAGTTTTTTTTTGTCGTTTGTGGTACCATCCGTTTTCTTATTTTCCACTATTTCTTTGTACTTGTATATTAAACTATACAACACCTGTTTTTCATTAGGTGAAAAATTTGAGGTGCATTTGAGGTTTGTGGTTTATCTTTCTCTAAAATATGTTTATGTAAATGAAATTTCTAAATATTAATTTATCTTTAAAAGGTTCACCTCTTGCGACATTTTTTATAAACGTCCTTATAACTCACAATATAACTCAACACTCTTCGAATATTCGCGAAGTTGGGAATGATACGAATAGTAGAAATGTTATTTACATGGTATATGTCAAATGTCAACTGACATTAACTTGACAACACGAAAAACCCTAAAAAATTACTAAAATTTATAAAAATAACAAAATTTTATGGCGTTGTTGCCATAATCGGAAATGGTAAATGAAATAATACTTTGCACAAATACAGAAGCTAAACATAAATATAAAGGAAAGCCATGACCAGAGATTAGTTTGGTAGAAATAAATGCTTTCTTAGGGGGGCCTGAATCGCTTCTACAAGAATTGTAGGGGCGAGAGTGACAAATTTGCTCCTATATAATGTCGAAAAATTATGATACCGAAAGAGCTTTTAACCATTGACGAGCAATTGTTGGCATATAGAGGACGCTGTGGTTTTATTCAATATATGCCAAACAAGCCGACAAAGTATGGAATATTTTTTTTTGGATATGTGAAAGCGATACTGGCTATGCGATTGATGGTTAAGTTTATTTAGGCAAGCAGCCGGGTGAAAAACAGCGGAGAATGTTTCACAAAATGTGGTAATGACCTTAGTATCATCTATAAAGAATACCTCCAGAACCATAACATTTGACAACTACTTTACCAGTGTACCATTAGCCCACCAGCTTCTAGCTATTGGGATAACATCTGTAGGAACACTTCGCAAAAACAAGCGAGAAATTCCAACTGGTTTTCTATAAAAGAAGAAAGGCCCGTTTATTCTTCAGTTTTTGGATTTTCTGACGATCTGACACTGACCTCTTGAGTTGTATGCATCATGATGATCAAATTTCCATAGAAAACTGTAAAAGAAAACCGGACATAATAACATTTCATAATAAGACGAAAGGTGGTGTGGATCATATGGACCAAATGCTTGGAAATTACACATGCAAGAGACAGACTAGATGTTGGCCGTCTGCAGTTTGGTTAAATGTTATGGATGTTGCAGCCATAAATTCCTTTTTCCTTCACACAAACGAAAATCCAAACTATGCTGCTGCCAACAGTCATAAACGAAGAATATTTTTGGAAGAATTAGTTCAGGAATTGATACTCCCGTTTATGAAAGTGAGATGACAAAATTCTGAATTACACCGACACATCATAGATGACATGAAAAAATTCATAGAATTTCCGGCACCAGGTACTTCTGAATCCACCACACCACCCAAAAAGAAGAGCTATAGCGTGTGTCCAGTTAAGATTAGTCGCACGAGTACTTTGCAATGCATAAAATGCAAAATACTTACCTGCAAAGAACACAGTGTGGTAATTTGCAAAAAATGTGACACAAACTTCGTGTTGTATTATTATATAACATATTGCTTAATTATTTTCAATAAACTGTATAAACAAAATTTCACTGGTATTAATATACAACTGTCACTGACACATGCTATGTATTAGCGTATGTAGATTCACTTATGCATCCTACGGTTAATTATTATGTATATACAGGCTGTTTCGGTGACTCAGGGAACAAATGTAACCACATATACTAGAGTGAAAATGATGACAATTCATATAAAAAGAATTAGTAAAATTCAGATTCAGAAATTCAGATACAGGCCATCAAAGTTAAGAAATTTTAACACATTTTTCTAAATATCTTAAACACTAGTTGAATACAATTCGTCCGATAGAGTAGGACAAGATTCAGTAAAAATAGAACATTGTAAGTTAGAAATTAATAATTTGATTAATGCAACTAAATTAATGTTAGTAGAAAGAAGAGAAGCTATAGAGTTAAGTTGTATAAGCGATAGAGATATAATTGGTAAATTGGGGGAATTAAATTGGGGATAGTGCAGAAGAATTAAATAAATTAGTAAATATGGGTGTAAGATTTGACTTAAAAACGGCGGCATCACTATTACCAGTGATAAACAATACAGAATCCACAATGACACAATTAATTGACGCAATCGAATTAAACTAGACAGTGCTAGTGCAAAATTAAAAATAAATTCGGCATATAATACAACAAAAGCATTAATAGATGACATAAAACTTCATTTATTGACGAAAAAGTCTGCAGCTTCTTTTTCTGTAGAGCTTCATAGGACTAGACAAAATGATAAATCAATAGAAAATTTCGGTAAACAAATTGAAGAATTGCTAGTTAATTTAACAATTTCGCAAGCAAACGGCGACAATGCAGCGGCAAACATATTATGGTCTGCTAATGAGAAAACAACTATATCGACATTCGCAAACGGGTTAAGAAATCACGAGTTAAAAACTATAGTTAAAGTGAGAAATTATAGTTCTTTAAAAGACGCAATAGCTGGCGCAAAAGATGAAGAGAATTCCAAGTACGGCTCATCTTCAAATGATTTTCATTTCCGACAGTCATTAAATTCACAAAATTTTAACGGGCGTGGTAACCGATCTTTTTATAATTCTTATAGAGGTAGCAATCAATGTCAGAATAGACAATTTAATCAGGCAAATACTTCAACAGGTAATCAAGATTATTTTCAAAATTCAAATTTTCGAAATAATAATTTAATATATAATAATAATTTAAAAATTTTATTTATTTTCTCATTGCCGCAATGTAAATGGTGACTGTGTACTAATATCAGAAAATGTTTGTGACGGAGTTTACGTGGCTGGTTGTATTGTTAAACCAGAAGATAATAAAATTCCATTAAAATTCTTGAATACGACTGAGAGAGAAATTAAAATTCGAAATTTACAAGCTACAATTCAAAATCTTTCAAATTTCACTATTTTTTCATACAGCGCAAACGATTTATCTGTTAATAGAGTAGATAAAGTTCTTGACTTAATAAGTATGGAAAAACTAAATAATTCCGAGAAAAAATCAATCGAGAAAATTTGTGCAAAGTACATGGATGTATTCCATTTAGAAGGTTTCATTAAATCTTGAGTCACAACCTGTCTATGTAAAACCGTATAGATTATTACCACATTCGCAAAAGTCCGAGATTATAAATAAATTAAAAAAATGTTAAAAGATGGGATAATAGAGGAGACACGATCACAATGGTCATCACCTGTATTAATTGTTCCCAAAAGATCAGGTAAATTAGGTAGGAAGAAGTGGCGTGTTGTAATTGATTACAGATTACTTAATAAACAGGTTCAGGATGATAAATTTCCCTTGCCAAATATAACGAAAATATTAGATTCTCTTGCGGGCGCAACTTATTTCTCACACCTTGATCTCTCACAAGGTTACTATCAAGTCGAATTAAATGAAAAATGTAGACCGATAACAGCTTTCTGAAATGATGAGTCTGAAAATCAGTCCCAGCGCGTTTTCAAGAGTAATAACAACTGCCATGTTTGGATTAAATTGTGATTCTTGTTTTATATATTTAGACGACTTAATTATTTTCGGCAATACCTTAGAAAAACATAATAAAAATTGAATTAATGTTTTAGAACGATTACGGAAAGTTAAGTTAAAATTAAACCCTGCAAAATGTGATTTTCTTAAAAAAGAATTGATGTATTTGGGACATACACTGTTGGAAATAATTCATGAGCACACCCTGTATAATCTGAACGCGTGTGTCTAGCGGAATAAAATTTGGTATGGAAGTAGTACTAAAGTAGTGTAACTTACTCTCACATGGAGAGCGGCACAACTCTGCTGGGAGATGAAACATCAATAGCGAGAGCTTCGCGTACCATCGCTACACGACGTGGCATGGAGTCCATAAGTCGCTGTATTGTAGCGAGAGGGATGGCCAACTATGCCACCTCAACTCGCCTCCATAGCTCCAAAACGTTAGCCGGGGAAGCCGGATAACGTTGAAGTCTCCGACCAGTCATTTCCCAAACATGTTCGATTGGACTCAGATCCGGAAAACGAGCTGACCTAGGAAGCATTCGTATACGGTGCTCTTCCACCAAGGTCTGTACAATACGCCCGATGTGCGTTCGGACGTTGTCGTGCATGTATAGGAGACCTGCATGCCGCCGAACGTAGGGAAGCACAACGGACCGTAGCACCTCATCTACGTATCGTTGACCCGTCATGGTCTGCTATACACGCAGCAGACGTGTACGTCCACCATATGTAATCGCACCCCATACCATAATGCTCGGTTGTCGGTGGATAGGGCGTTCTTGCACACACTGCTCGAGTAGACGATCACCACGGCTCCGACGAACTAAAATTCGCGCATCACCGGTGCTCAATTCGAATCTTGATTCGTCGGAAAACAAAATGTCCCTCTACTCGGCAACCTACTAATGCCTAGCGTCGACCCACTCGTGACGTATGCTGCGGTGCTCGGGTGTTACTGGAATCCGCTGTATCGCACGACGCGCGCGCAGTCCACTATCTACCAAACGCCGCCGTACAGTTCGCGTAGTGAGTGCGCCTTCCCCTGCCGGTGGCCAAACAGCTCCAAGTTGCCTTGAGGAGGACACACACGACGCTAAAGCGCTGAGCACAAGAGCGCGATCCTCGTGTGCTGGGGACGCGCAGGGCCGTCCCGGCCGCGGCTGAAGGTACCTATGTCCTACCTCAGACCATTCTCGCCATGCCCGTTGCACTGCCGATAACGACCGCTCGAGACGACGCGCAATTTCACAGAACGATACACCCTCAATGTGCATACCCACAAACATTCCTCGCTCAAACTCGCTTAAG